TGTTAGTTGTTCAGTTAAAACATTTTTTGGAACTCAGCTTCATAACTTCCCCTTTGCTCACAAGAAGACCATTTCCAAGACAAATATCTTTATTCTATATATTGATTTTCATACAAATTTCACATAATGATGAAAAGTAAGTTTTTATCATTATGTACCATGCTTATGAAGTAATCATTTTTTTTAAACATAGTGCCATGGTCAGTAGATCATCCTAAGTGGAACTGGCGGATTAAACCAGAAAGCCGTGATTTTGATGAATTGAACCACATCCTTCAAGAGAGCAAGAATCTGGGAAAAGCCCTTGAGAATCTGTCTCGAAGTAAGTTCATTTAATTGATTATAATTGAAATTCCTAGCCAATATTAAGGTAGAAATAGTCATTACTGTTGCCAGTAACCCACTTCCAGCATCCTGATTATAATAATTGTGTGAGATTGAGGCGTTCTAATGGTGTGAGATTAGAAAAGAGGTTTGATCTTGCATATTACACAGATTCGTGGGAAGATGGGTTATATAAAGTAGGAGTATTAGGTCCGCTCCTGCCACAGTTGTTTCATCTAGTCTCTCTACAGAGTCTCTGTTATCTCATTCAACTGTGTGTCTCATGGAATCTTACTCATTCTTCTCTTTTGAACCCCTTTGTTTTCTGTCATCCTAATTAATATACATACTTCAATGAGTTTTTCATGTCTCTAAACTTCTTAAAAATGGAGCCGGGCGAGATTCTTCTTAGAACCTTTCAGAGCCTAGCAACGTATGTTTTTCTGAAAGCATTGATTCTCTAACCGAAGGGCCTGTGTTAGAGGTTTTGCTCTGCCACCTATCAGGTGAATAATCTCGGGTAAATCATCAGATCTACATGAGTTTTGGTCTTCTCATCTTCAAAGCAGGAGGATATGATTCTTTCTCCTTCTGGTAGGTGTGATGGTTTAAAGTGATATGTCAAGTAAAAAGTCTGATTGCCTTCTCTCATGACAATAACATATAAAACAAATATTTNATTGTTATCTCTTGCTTACCCAAGCATGTCTACGTGACTTATCACGGGTTACATCCCCAGGCGTTCCCAGGCTGTTGCCCACTCCTAGTTATCTAACTTAGGGTAGGTGCATTTCTCAGAAGCCTCGGGTAATTTACACAAGAAAAAAACTGGGTGGCTCTCGCTCTAGGCAGTCAGGTTAAGTGTCATTAGTTCTTTTTCCTGACTCTTGATGCTCTCTGCACTCCGTTACAAGAACCCTTTATATGAAGACACACAGAGGAAGCAGCTGTATTTGACTTAAAAAAAAATTAGAATTAATATTTGCTCGTTTTGACAATAGAAATATGCAGAAAGATAGTGTGTCTCTCTGTTTAGCCCTTTCAAATTCTACTCCTTCAGACATAGTTTGTATCTTTTCACCTCCTTTGAAACATAGTTTTCATCTTTTTACATCCTTTTTACAAACTAACATATAAAATGTATGAGAGTTGATTTGCTTTTAAAACTGGCTTTAAACTGTATCCATTTTTAAGCAACTTGCTTTTACTATTTTAAAATATATTATGGACATATCTCCATGCTGGCAAGCTTAAATCTAAGTTATACTTTTTAATAAATGCATACTATGTCAGTGTGAATATATTTAATCCACTGTTGAAGGACATTTAGATTATTTCCAGAGTTTTGCCATTACAAATTGCTGAAATAAATAATTATCTTGCACTTTCTGTTAAAGAAACCATGTACATGTATATACAAATATAGGTGTTTTCATTTCTTTGTGGTAATTTACTAGATATAGGATTGCTGGGTCAGAGGGTAAGCATATTTTTTTAATTATAATAAATATTTCTTATTTTTAAGGGGAGGCAGGAAAAATATTTCAGTGGTCTGAGACTATTTTTCCCAGCCTTATCATATAAATATTTTTTAAATTCTATTTTTATCAAAAGAAAGATATACAGGGTTTAAAAAGTAAAGTGGCACTACAAGGCAATCAACATTTTTTTTATTAAAGTATCATTGACATACAATCTTACAAAGATTTCACATGAACAAAATTATGGTTTCAAAGTTCATCCATATTTCAAGTCTTCACCTCCACCTCCCATTGCAGTCATTAATAGTGTAGTAAGATGCTAGAGTCATTACGTGTCTTCTCCGTGCTATACTAAGGCAATCAATTTTTATAAAATGATCTCCTTTTCTAATGTGGAACCACTTTGAACTTATAGATGTTTCTGTCCACAAGTCTATGTATCTAAACACACAAGGTACTTACACAGTTCCCTTTTACTTTTTAAATTTGAGGGATCATCTCTTGACATAAGACTGCATCATACCCCAGGCCCATTTCATCCTTGCAGCACAGTCATGCAAGGATTTGAAATACTGGTTGACTACATACTTTGCGTTGATATCATTATGACAATATTCTGCCTTTGTTGCAGTAGAGCCATAAGATGCACAACTGTAATATCTTTCTAGAATTAATAATTGTATTCTTTTTCTGTTTGCTTTATTTTCTATGTGTCCATCATTAATGCTTCATCAAACCCTGCCTTAAAGTATTAAACACACTAAGTAATCCTAACTTCTGTCTTATTTTTATATTTGCTACTTTGCTTCATTTAAAAGTTTTTAGAGATGTCTCTCCTGTAGTCCTCTGTCCTCTTGCTCTGATCTTGGGTCCTTGGTTTCTAGCCTTTTTCTCCGCTGTCTTCTGAGACTGTCCTTTACTATTCTCCTGAGGAGCCCCTTTTCCTTTTTCTTAGGGAGGATCACCTGTTTCCTGAATCCCAAGTATTTCCACTTCTGGGGTTACTTACTCATTTTGGTGGAGCACCTATACTAGGACCTTCCTGAAAAAGAATGTTAGCAAGATAAATTTTTGAGTCCTTACAAGTATCTTGATTGGTTCCTAAGTTGGGTACAAAATTCTAAGTTAGACGTAATCTTCAGTTAGAATTTTGAAGGAATTTCTCCCATATCTTCTGGGACCAAGTGTTTCTGTTTAGAAGCCTGATGGCAATTTGATTTTTCATTTTTGTCCCTGATGAAGATCTTTTCTTTATTTCCATTGTTGTAAAATTTTGTGATAATGTGCCTTAATTGTATTGGACATTTAATGAAT